GGAGAATAAATAATTTAAATCGATGGAAAGCTATAGCTATTCGAGAACTTTCAAATGAATTGTAATTCAGTCGAAGTTTACTTTTCTTATTTACTATCTCTTTGGATCGGATGAGGGAGGGAAAGGGATTGCAGTTTGAAGGCCAAGTTTTCTGTAACTTTCAAGGATCTTTTATCACGAAATGAATAAATTATATAACGGCGGATTCGATTACAAATCTGGGATAAATTTATTGCATTGCAGATAGCTATTACTAATACAATAATCAATATACGAAAGACAATCCTAATTTTCTCCTAAACCGTTTATATTGAAACTTATAGAACATAAAAATCTGAAAGGACTAACAATCTCTCATTAACAAAATTTTAGGAGTAAAATTAAAATATTTTACAAATTTACGGAAATAATTTTTTTGGTCAAATCAAGATTCCATTATACAAAATATAGCCATTTTAAACCTCGAATTTTGGTATATTTAACTTCTTTTTTTTCGAAACTTGTCATTCTTCAATCCTCAGATCTACATTAAGCTTCAATGTAAACATCTTTAGAGGTTAAAACAAGATATAAACACTTCAAATACTTGCTAACTATTGACATTATACATGTATTTCATATCAATCATATCATCTTATGATAATACTGTTTTTCGCAAGCGATATTACATGAATTTCCTACTTTCGACGCCACTAAAGACACCTATTTTTTTTTTTTATTCAATTAAACTCTTACACATATCTTCCATAACTGATTATCATGCTCTTCTTATGATATATTTACATGTTATCCAACATTTACATAATTGGGTTTATATTGACAGATGCAGCTTTCATTTTTCTTAGTAGAAACTTAGAGCTTATTTATAAGAAGAATTTAATTTATTTTGTATTTTTTTCTATTGTAATTTATTGTAGTTTTTATATCTTTATGATGTTTTTTTTCATAGTTTTAAGTGTTTTGTACATAGTTTTATTTGTTTTGTATATAGCTTGTTCACTAAGATTCTCTTTACTTTTTTTTTAATTTTATTTATTGTTTCAAAATTTTCGATCAAATTTTTTAACCATTCGTTCATCGTTATCATTATAGCCAACTCTATTTGTATGGGGAATTCCCCGAAAACAAATAAATAAAATAATAATAATTTTAAGACCAGAAACCAGAAGTAGTCTTTTCTTTTTATACAATTTTGTTATTCTAAAAGGACTTTTTTCCAGAACAAAGTTTTTTTCTATCTATCTATACAAAGAAACGTATCTCTAAAACTTCAGAATCATCGAAAATCTTGTTCATCTTTTGATTGATTACTCGATTAGAACTCTTTAGTTAGTCCAGATAATATTTTTTTTAGAAGCATTGTAATGTTTCAAGTAATTGAATAAAAAGCATACATTTTTTTAGCATAAAAAGTCAACAAGATAAGAACACAAATTAGTAAAGTTTGAGATTTTTCCCTAAAATAATTTATTTTACTTCACTGAAGAATCATTGGAACATTTTTTTTAGTAGAAAATTAAGCTACAATTGTCTTTTGTGTTACAGCATAACATTTTGTGAAATAAAATATTTATTTTAAATAACAAAATATCGCATACTAGAGAAATGAATAATAGGTAGATACAGAAAAAATAATATGCTAAGATTTAAGATAATGATTAAATAAATAACATTATATATATATAAAGGCCAACCAGTTATCATGTTTCATGAGTTTTAAACATCTTAATTTTCCAATAAACTAGATAAATATTATCTGCCTGAAACTGCGGCATGTCACGCAGGGATGCATACACCCTTGTTGCGCAATTAGGGGTCAACAAAACTATTGTCGAGGGGTTAAGTAATGATTCAAATTAACTAATTGAGAGGCATTAGTTACGTTGCTGGCTCTGAGTAATGCAACCAATTATCACATATGCATTAATTATCTTAACAAGGAAATTTTAAAGTTTACACGCTCGTGTGCAAAAATTAGAGAATTATTTATTGAATCATTATTTATGAAATTGTTGATGATTAGTCAAAGAAATATTTTTTAACAGAATCATATCTCAAATTATTCCATTAATTTGCTTCAATTTATGAGTAATTAACTTGAGTGATGATTTTGTTTTCTTAACTTTAACTGTAAAGACTTACAGATTTTTTTTTTTTTAATTCAAGTAAATATGCTTAAAATAGTTTTTGAAAATATTAAAATGTATATATTACATTAAAAAAATATCCACCTTTGTATTTACTTTAGTTGCAACGACATGCTTTTAAGTATTAGATAAGTGGTATCTATACGAGCTCATTATCGACAAAACAAGTTGATTTATTTTCTAGTTATTGTTTTGTTGCATATTGACTGAATGACGGCCATATATAAATCCTTGAAATATGAGCGATAAGCGGCAGTTGAGGATTATTTGAAGTTTGCTTACTAAAATTTCAAGATAACAAATAATCTATTTATAACATTACAATTGTTTGGATTGTGTTTGATTGAAATATTGGATGGATCATTTTTTAAGGAAAAACAGATTTGTTTTAATTGTTTATTTCATCATGTTTCAGAACAATACCACCTATAGTATTTGATGAAATTGACATTGTAATATTTTTACATATTTTAAATTTTTAAATAGAAAATACATTTAGGCATGCTTAAGCGAAAGTAGTGTATATAATTCGATAAACTTTACAATCAACTATTAATACACTATTCCTCCAATTTCGAGCCAGATTGGAAGAGCCGTTTTTGAAATATTAGCATATCAATGAAGATACTTAAGCGGAAGTAGGAAATGGAATTTGATCAATATGATATGGGTTCCATTAAATATCAATCCACAAAATATCTGAAAATATTATCAAAATCTAATTAACGTTATTAGTTATCACACGGATTTTGCTTACAATTAGATTTCTAGTTAAAAAAATTAAAATGTATGAAACTTGTTACAAAAGTTTTTATTTACATGTTTTCAACTGGTTTAATTAAAATCTTAGCACATTATTTATTCTGTATCTAGTTATTATTCAAAATCAATTAATACGTTAATATAACAATCAAATCCTCCCACAATAGAGTGCTGCCTTAAAAATGATAACATAATCCGCATTTCGTTTTACTCTCCCAAGGTCTTCTAATCGATTGTTGTGTAAGGAAAACTTTCAAATAATTAAGTTTATTTTAATTTTTAATTGATATGTTTACGAAGAAACATACTAATTCATAACATTAATTCTATTTTTCAATGAATTTATGTAAAATTATAAGGAAAGAATAATGATTTTTGGGAGCATATAAATAATTTGTGATAAAAACACAGTAGGTCATACCAAATGTGATGCTAAGAATTCATTGAGTTGTATGTAAAATCGGTTCATTCTGTTAGGAAAAAAGAAACACTAAAAATTAAATTAAATTCCTTCCAAAAAAGTAATTTACTATAACTTATTTTTCAAAAAATTCTTAATACTTGAAAAATCGATTTTATCGAGTTTTCTCAGACATGATAATTCTTCTAGGTCTATAAGATAGATTAAAATCAACTCTTAATTAAAATTGAGCTATAACTGTAATGCTACACGGTGAAATTGGTACAGCCAAATCTACAACTTGGGATATTAACTCGATGATACAACATCAATTGAAAACATGATACTGGAAAGAGGGCCTGAAACGCAACACATACTATTGATCGATTTCAATAATGTATAATTCATTAAGAGAATCGACTTCTATGGATTGTCTAACATGGAGGCAGGTTTTCCCTTTGTTTAATTATGTACCAATATAATTTGTGACATATAAAAACAAATTCATGACAACTGATATACCAAAGTTCATTGGTCTTAAGCATTCATTCTGTTGGGATGAAGAAGATATGTTTTAATCAATAAATATACATGTCTCATGGCTAAAGATAAATAAAATTGACACTAATTTAAATTAGAAACTAATTCTATCGGATTTATATATTGATTGATTGAAATTATTTTTACGCAAAATAGGTAAAACTTTCCTGGTGTTATGCATTAAGCAATTATATTTTTACCACCTTTTATATCACCGGTTTATTGCAAAAAGTCATTAAGTACATTTTTTAAGGAGCTGTACTTTTAAGAAAGCTTTTGTGAATTTCGACCAAATTTAGCGATAAACAAAGATATCGTCAAGTACACTAAAATTATGCAAACCCTTTTATATATTAAATATAGTAAAAAAAACGCGCAATTTTTTAATTTCATAAAGGATAAATTCAAGTTTTCATTGATTTATAGTTATAAAATGTCACTTCATGACTTTTTTGCAATAAATCGATAATACATGCGAATAGTTTTGCTGCAAGCATTACATCAATTTATTTATCATTCTTTTTTAAAAAAAAGTAAATAAATATTAAGCAGAATTAATTGGAATAACGTTGGAATACATTTAATATCATGTATCAGTAGCGGATCCAGGATTTAATTTGGGGAATTTTATGTTATTTATTTTTTTTTAAATAAGGGTAATTACTCTGGAAAAAAAGTTAACTATATAATATAATGTTTGATTGGTCCTTGAAGGCCTGTGAAAAATCAGGGACCATAATCCTTTTAGAGATCAATGTTTTATACATGCGTAATTCTTTAAAAATATTACATATTTAGATAGTTCGAGTATTTAGCTTAGATCACCCAAGAAGCATATATGAACCAATGAAAAAGTCATATTTTTTTTCATTTTGGGGGGCTTCAACCTCTTATCTCTTGGATCCGCCAGTTTCATGTATTAAAATGCATATAAAAAAATTAAGGCAAAGGCTGAGAATAAGCTTGACAGCAGGCATGGCATATGTTTACTACTGTCAGAGAGGTCTCATATAAACAAACTGCTAGAGGTCACTTGAATCACACAGTATTAAATGGGGACAACCATCATCCAGGATGTTACAGTTTGTTTATAGAGGCAGTGACTAGACGAGGCTAGACTTGGACACCTGTTAGCGATAAGGAAGAGCTACTTACTGGCACTCGTTCATAATTTCCTCCTGAGAGCGGACCTGGACGGGAGCCAGCTTCTCGACGGACTCATCGTAATTGCAGAAGCACCTGGTGATCTTGTCGTCGAAGGTGTTGACGAGGTCCTCCAGGCTGCCTGAGAAGGTCTCGGTGAAGTTGTCCGGTTCGCCGGTACCGTCGGTGCCATTGGGGCTGCAGAGGCACTGCTTGACGTTATCCACCTGAGGCTTAAGGTTGAGGTTGAGGTTGATGTCCTCGGCAGGCTTGACGTCGCCGTGGCCCCAATCCTCCGCCTCTTCGAGCTTGGCCAGCGGGGCCTCGAACTGTAGCTCGGCCATGTTGTTGCTGGTGTCTCTCATCCTCGCAGACCGTAGCCGAACCCCCGACTGCGCCTGCCCCTCCGCCGCTCGATGTCATCCCCTCCCCTCCTCTCCCCTCCTCGCCCCTTCATTGATCCTCCTCATCCCTTAGTGCGCCCTTGTTAGCCCTCTTCTCTCTCTTCGAGATAATTTATTGTCTTCTCATCATTAATTAATGTAACAAATATAATTTTCAAAACTTGGAAAATAAATATTGCATTTGCCTTGCTACTTAACAATATTAATCATGTTAAACAATAGATCTAGTAATTTTTATACTGTATACATCTACCGACCCAAGGGGTGGAACTAGGGCAGCGAAGGGAACATTTGTCACGAGCGGTAAAATTTATAGAGGTGTAAATTTTAAGTTCTTCCCCCTTTTTTGCTAGATAGAGAAGGTAAGGTTTTAGTTTTTTGACAGTTCATACAGCCTTACCAAGGTCACGATCTACAGAACATCTAATTTAATATAAATATTTCTAATTTATAATTTGTACCGTATCCAGGGCCGTGAAGAAAATTATATGATACTTCTTTTAATGTAATACATATCACATTATTTAAAAAAAAAGTTAATAAATAAAATCTGATCTACCAGACTTTGTGTTCTTCAAAGAAGTCAGAGCCTCAGGACTGTCTCTTCCCCTTTCATCGGACCTGACCTCATCTGGATTTGCAGACTGCATTTCTTGAGTATGGTTATGCAAGAATGAATCTGCTGGCTTTGAGCCAAACTGAAAATTTTTAGAAAAAGTTCGTTAGCTGCAAATTATCTGGTTATTTTACTACTTACGAAGTGGTCTCTAACTTGGAAAATCAATTAATTTACTTATATCATAATGCATTGCCTAAGCTTAAGGATATATCTACTAAATATTGTTAAAACAATGATTAAACAATTATATTGTACAAAGCATGAATGTATAGCAATATTGTCACAGATTAAATTAACTATTTAACTTTCTGTTTTATTTAAATTTCTATTTTATATTAATTATTCTATTTTACTTAGCAGTATCGTACAAAATGTCTCATAAATAATGAATAATATTTAAATGGATGAGAGCAGATCTTAAAGGCTACTAAGATGTTCAACAGCCCAATCCTAGGATATAGTTTTAGTATTTATTAGTATTAGACTAATATTTTAGTATTTACATTTTATGGAGTTGAAAAAAAAAAAAATAGAGGAACGCTCAAATTATCCACGATTCCGAATTAAAAGCGTTTGGATAAATCAAATCCGACTGGGTTAGACTTAATTTGCTACAAACTTGGCTTAGAATCTCCTTTCCTTAAAATCCAAAATTTTATTAAAAAATATACAAAACATTTTTAAAGCAATGGGTGGAATAATTACAAGTAATACATTTTTTCTGCAATTTTCCCCAAACCTCTGTATAGCGATTAAGATCGGTGAGTTTAGGGATTCAAAAAAGTAGTTTTGTTGATGATTGTACAAAGTTAATTTAAAAAGATTATTAATTTTAAAAAAAAGTGGTGATTGGCAGGTTCGAAATCAGAAGAGTAGAGTGGACATTACCAATCATATTATCTTTATCATATCTATATACAGTTCGATCAGTTTTTCTTCACCTTGTTCCTTTTTTTTTTTTTTTTTTTCCTCTTGCCAGTAGATGGTAAAATGAACATTTGATTTGGGAATTAGAAACTTTGAATAATTGTTTTTGTTTTTTTTTCAACATAGTATTCCATTGATCCCGATATCAACGCATAGATTATATATATATATATATATATATATATATATATATATATATATATTCCCATTATTTCAATGATATGTTGATTTTTTATCAAGCTATGATAGAAATATTGCCTTATGTTCTCAAAATGAAACTTTTTCAAATATTTTAATAATTCTTTGATTTTTCTTCTTTTGAAAATCCTAGTTTGTTTTTTACCTACTTAAATCCAATAACTATGCTAATGAAAGTGATCAAAATAACAAACTATAGGAAATTAGCGTTTAATTGAAAATTGGAAGATCGATTTGGAATGTGTTACCTTCCTTGTAATTTATAAGCAATTATAAACAATATTGAATTTAAGATTTAATAAATTCTTTACTAAATAATAGATTTTTATTATATTAGATTGAAAATCTGGCATTATCAATACTTGAGGATGGTGTATAACGACCTTTGACAGGACAATGACGTTGCTAACATTTGATATCGATTGTCACCTCACCTTTGTGGAATCAGTATCTACCAAGAGCATCAGTTTGTGTAAAATAATTATAGTAATATTAATTGTTATAATATTCTTCATCACGTAATTTGTTTAAGACTCATTCACAAATCTTATTAATTTAGTTATTTGAATAGTTCGGCTATATTTACTTTGAACTCGTGAATCAACTGGTTTTTCTGTAGATCAAGTGGGAAAATCCATCTTATCGTTATTTATTTTGATTTCTTCGCCCAATTAAATAATTTGATTAGTCATCACTTAAAAAACAATAATTTCAAATGCAGTTTCGATTTCTGACCATTTAATAAAAAATAAAAATATCTAAAATAGTTGTCCTATTTCATGCTTTCTACTCAATGAAATATGGTTGATACAATTCAACAATTGCTCTTGTGCTGTTAGATGCCCTTGTTTGAAGAAATAAAATCCAGCGAAATAAAAGGGATTTCATTAGATGTTGAAAGGAAATGTGTGCCAAATATGGCAAGGCAAGATATCTGTATATTACAAAAAAAAAAAAAAAAAAGATACCTTGTAAACTTCTCAAAATCTTTTAAGTATATTGTCAAAGAAAAATTTGAAATATATATATTCAAATATTCGAATCATCTTGGAGAAGGATTAAAAAAAGATGTACTTAAGGCTAACAGTAATGTAACATTTTACATATATAAGCAGATGATCTAAAATATAAAGAAGAGTTGAATACTGAATAATGGCAAAGACCTAGTAAAACAAAATAAGATAACTAAACTAAACGGAAATAAGAAGAAAAAAAATATTATTTTGAAAATGATATAAACTCGAAAAATAAAAGTTACAACTAAGTTTTGTGAGTTTTATAAAGTTAAATAGATTTTATATGGTCGGTTGTATAATGTAATGTAATATAATGCCCTCGGGCAGTGGAAGGAATTTATTACATGTTTATATTGTATTATTGTATACTATATATGTAATTGTTTCAATAAACTTTTTGGAGGGTAAGAAAAAAAAAAAAAAAAAAAAAAAAAAAAAAAAAAAAAAAATAGATTTTATATATAATATATTTAAATTTAAATATTATTGATCATCATTAAAAACGAACGTAGTTTGGAACAGACCTGAGCAAAAATGTATTTCAATTTTTTTTTTAAATACTTAGTATTTTTTGTATCTAAAATATAATTTTAATATACAAATATTTAACTTGTTTACAAAAAAAATATTTTGTATTTTAAATTTAAATACTTATTGAATAAAATAATTTAAATGCATTTTAAAATACTTTTCGCCCGTACTTCTGGTTTGGGATAATGAAGAATTTCATACTTTTTCTATTTACTAAAACATTATATCCATTTAAATAACATAGGTGGTGAAATAAAATAAAATAAAAGATGGATGCTGATTTTAAATCATAATGGAATAAGATATACAACTTACCAGCGGTAACTCGGCACTAATTTGTAAATAAGTTGTAACCAAAATTCGGCGAAAGATAAAAACCATGTTTTATTTTCTGAAAAAAATATGTGTATTCAGACATTTCACAAACTATGAGAAACAAAATTATCTGACATAAATAATAGTGACATTGTACCTAAACCAAACTTGAATCCTAGATCCGTTAGTGAATGCATATGGAAAACATCAAAAACAAGTTTTAAAAAAATATATCAAAAACTGTTAAACTCTTTATCAATATTCTTCCATCAGATTTTTAAGATTATGCTACATACCCACTTTTTTCTTATTAAGGATAGTTTTGAGTATTCTTCATGAATACCCTAATACGTCTATATATTTTATAGCTTTAGTGCTACCTATGAGTGGGAGATCGTACTACATTCAAAATCCAAAATGTAGTGGCATTATTGTTTTATGATTGTAAAATAATTGATATTACCTTTCAAAAGTTCGAACAAAACAATTGAAATAAGTCAGTTCATAATTAGTAAGTTCTATCTTGTTGATTATATTGTTTGTTAGTCAATTTGTAATAATTATGTAATGAATGAATCCAATGATTTGAAACATTAACATCTTTTCTCATAGTAATACACATATTTGATCACCTAGTCCTACTTTATTTTATTTTCCACATCAACGTTTTAGACTCTTAGGCTATTTCCAAGGAATGAAAATGTATTTTAAACAATTAAAATCAATATGGACTGAATGTCCTCGTTAAACATTGTATAATAGTATTTGACTAATTAAGTAACGTCTGACAAGGAAAATTCAGTCCATATCAATTTTAATTGTTTAAAATAGGTTTCTTTCCTTGAAAATGACCTAAGGTGCTGAAACGTAGTTGTAGAAAATAAAATAAAATAGGACTATGTGATCAAATATGTGTATTTATTATTACTATTAAAGTGAAGTCCTAACCTACAAGTTTGAATACATATGTTTAATCTTTTCTCATATTTATAGTAATTTATTGAAAGATTCAGAGGTTTATTGAAAGATTTCTTTTCTACATTAAGGCTCTCTCTCAAAAACAAAAGATTAATTTTGTTTAAATTAGTCCATTTTCGGTTGTATGAATGATCTGAATCAAAGATGTAAAAAATTACAACCCACTTTCTTTTTAAACCATAGCAGATAACAAAACATCCTTCTTAACGCAGGTTCTTCTCTTATTTCTTGAATAAGAGTTAAAAATTATAGATTAAAAAATTTGAAAAAAAAAAATGTAGTCGGCCATGATTTCTAGGCATCCCAGCATGAAATGGCTTAATAATTTAAAAAAGCTTCTAGCTGAAATTTTAAACTTTTTCTTGAAAATATTAATG